TTGTAAATATCTCTTCATCCAATGACCCAATCGATCTCAAACTGTGCAAGTGGATGTTTTGTCAGACAACCTAATCACATTGTAAATCACCGATTGTATGCATTTGTATTAAAGACTCTGTCTATGTAACTGTCAACAAAATAAACAGCAGAATGCAGAAGGCTTGCAGAGGGAGGCAGCCAATGACCTGTAACAGCGGCAGTGTAGGGTCATAAAGGTAAATGCACGTGCAGTTCATGATAGTTACCTGTGCACTGCACAGTGATAGACCGTTTGGATCATTCACATTGACTACTTCTAGCTGTCATCATGAAAGCTTATTCAGATGATGCTAAACGTTTAATTAGCAATGTGTTTAATTTTTTTAAAAAAGAGAGCAAACGCAGCAAACCGATTTATAAGGTGTCGGATTACATGCAACGTACAACTATTGCTCTTGGCATGAAACAGAACATCGTGCTAACAATTGTGAAAAATAAACCAACAACCAATAAACAAAATCTTGTACAAAAAGGTAGGCATCCAAAGTTAGATTCTTTTGACATCAGGGTCATCAGCATAGCTGACCTACATTGACGAACGTTGACCTTTATGACCCAACACTGCCGCTGTTACAGGTCATTGGCTCCCTCCCTCTGCAAGCCTTCAGCATCCTGCTGTTTATTTTGTTGACAGTTACATAGACAGATTCTTTAATACAAATACATAAAATCGGTGATTTACAATGTGATTAGGTTGTCTGACAAAACATCCACTTGCACAGTTTGAGATCGATTGGGTCATTGGATGAAGAGATATTTACAAAAATCCGGGTCCACATGCATTTCATGCCAAACTATACACATGGTTGTAATTTCAATGCTTCTACAGAGGCTCATGGCGCTTTGTGTTGTCACCATTTTTTCCCTATTTGGCAAGTGGGGTAAATATTTTCTTGCCAGCATGATCTATGTTTAATATGAATGTTTTTGCATTTGTTGCGGTTTTCCATCATATGTTTGAGTAACTTAACTTATTTGGCAACAAAACATGCTTTTGCCTGCACTGTGACATCACATCACATCACAGTACAAATGTCTGCAGCTGCTCCTCGGTCAGGCATGTTCTCATAGCATCTCCAACTAGATATTTAATTTAGGACACCTCCCACTGACACTAGTGTTGTCCTTTGCAATTATTGATGCATGTTCATGTGAACACCCTACAGTCTGCATTGTCTCAACACCTGATTCGGGAAACCTAAGGGACCATGTTCTTCACATGATGTCTTCCTTGACTCCTCTAAGGAGGCAGATCCATCTGGCTGCTGCCACAGGTGATCCACAGTTTATTCAATTAATCAACGCCCTGCAACAAGACCATAGATCCAGTGGCTGAGCAAGTGGAGAGACAGAACATGCTTTCTACTCTGTGATGACAGGCACTTTCAGCGCCCTCCAGTCATGCTGAGGTTTGAGCAAAATCTGTTTTTCTCATGCCTGGGTCCTTGGTTTGTTTTTTTTGCTCCTTTCCAGTCTAACCCAAAAGATCACTTAACTAACAACGAGTTTCAGATTCCTTTGGCGCTACATTTGCTTGAAAGAACCAGACCTCTTACACATTGACAGCCAACCTGATCTATGGCTTCCAGTGTAGTTCAGTCTACTGCAGAACCCTTCCAGTCCACGCCTTCACTTCAAAATTCACACTTTGGTTAGCAGAAAGCACTAACAGTCAAGGGTTACTCAAGGAGAGCTGCCCTGGCCAAAGCCCGTGTCCATAGACCATCCACCTGGGACTATCTGATGACAAATGGACCTCCTTTCAGACATTCAGAGCGCTTCCAAGACTTGGTTATTCAGCAATTTACTTGGGTGGACAACTGAGAGCTATGTATGGCTGTTCACATGCACTGCTATTGCAGGCATCCACTGTACAAAAGACTAACCACATCAGGCAAGCCCGACATCAGAGCACTGGACTTCTCATGACAGATTTCTACCTCCTTACTGTAGTGTCAGTCCTGAGGAAAGTATGTGAAGACAGTAATGACAATGTGGGGCGGGGTCTCCTGATGATGGATGTAGTCATGGAGGTTATGCTGGCCATGAAGACACGACTAAATCATCATTCATTTCCAGTTACATCAGTAAGAGCAACATGCAATATGTAATGCAGGCTAAGTATGTAAGATAGACATAATACTCTGATTATGTAATTTATGGCCATGGCTAGGCCATCTTGCAAAATGTAATTACAGGTGGCATTGGTTTAATCAGTAGTGGGACCTACAGATGCTGGGATTTTTTGTAGTCCTTCATATTTTGGATCTTTTTGTATATTTTCTTAATCCCCAGGATGCACTAGGGACATGTATATCCCTATTATACAAATGTATCATTCATCTTTCATCGTATACTTATGAAAAGCAATAGCCACTTAATAATGAACAATGAAAAGTCTAATCCTGACAATATATTCCAGTGTTTTAAAATAACCTTCATGATGTAGATGTAAACTGATGTCCAGGAGTTGTGCATATTGTCCACATGAAAGTACACATTCATACAATCTGTTTATCTGTTCAGGACATTATTCAAATGTTAAAACCAGTAATTTCATGCTCTGTTGAAAGAGCATCAAATTCTGACTGAAAACCAAGATTTTGTATACCTTTAATGAAAACTAGGTGAGATATATACTAATCAACCAATTAATGTTGTCTTTCTCTGACATTACCAAATGCACGAAACAAACCAGGGCATCAATTAAAGAGGTGTCGTTATATCAGTCATTTCATTACATTTGAAGATAAGGCTGGTACTCTATTAATAATAGTGCTACAAATAGGGTAGAGGAATTGAAGAACAAACTGTAAGTTTTCATTGTATGAAAACTTGTGGAGAATTTTTTTGAAACGCACAACAATATTGCATACAACATTTCACAATTGAATTTACACCATTAGATAGGAAATTTAATGTTCCACGTATCTGTGTGATTTTATAGTCCTAGGTGGATCCAGTGCCATGCTAACGCAATTCTTGCACAATATTCAGATATTATGAAAATGTCCATCAGAAAATAAACTTAGCATCCCAGGGTTAAATATGTCCAATTCATCTACTTCACAGAAACTGTTAGACTGGGGTAGTATACTTTCTCATGTATGTGTCTCCAATTTGATGATATCAAATTTTGTTCAGATCGTTTGGATTTATTTGGTTTGGTTTGTCAACAGGCTTTATACAAGAAATATAATAACCAGGGCCCACTTGCACAGAACGATCTTAGTGCTACAATTATTGTAAATCCATAAGATCGCAATCTTAGGCTTCGGCTACAATCGCCATCGACTTGCACAAAGCGATTGTAGGCTAAGATCGTTGTAAGTTACAATTGAAACTTACAATTGGTCCGGACCAATTGTAAGGAGCTAAGATCATTGTAGTCTGTGACATAATGGTGTTCAAGTTTCACGCAAATAATCAGCTTTACGTTTGGAGATTGCTTTTATATTGCATAAAACTGTACTGTATGAATCGCCTCGACAGTTCAACACGGAAAATGCACAACCGATTTAACGTCGGATACATTGTTATTTGCTGTAGTGAACCACAGAACTATCGAGTCGATATCACAAAGTACTATTCCCACCCGATTCAATGTTGGAATAAGTGTGAAACAACATACCTTTTTGATAAGCAAGGAAGGATACTAGCAAATGGTGTCCGCATGCGAATAAACCATGGCCGTGACCTTTTCATTAACTCAAGAGCAGATAATTTTAGTTTATGGGCAAGATGGGAGTGGTTTCCCCTGGCCTATGCCGTTGCCGTAGTGTCTGTCATGCCCAATCGCAGAGCTCAAGATATTTTCTTTTCGGTGATGGAGTGATTTTGTCTTAGTTAATCATTAAAGTAATCAAAAATTAGATACAAGTTAACGTGCAAAATCAAGATTCAATTTTAATTTCACTTTTAGAAAAATATCTATCAACGCAATAGGGTCATATCATTAATATACTGTGAATAAGTATTTAACAACTGCTCTCTCGATATATTATTTGATATTCGTATTTCCCTGTCATGAATCCTTTACAACACTTCTGTAGCCATATTACATTTTCTTGTTATATTGTGAGAAAACCAATACTTCTATATATATATTATATACTTCCTATATTTAGGATTTTACACACACACAAAAAAAAAGGAAAAAAACCCAGCTGTGCATTAAACAATGTCTCATTGACAACCAGTGGTAAATCATGCATTTAGGTGTTATATCATAAGTAAATATTGTCGATATTTGATATATTATTATAATTTTCATAATTATTAAGTCACTAAATCTAGACCCAAATTTATGAATGTATTTTTTCGCAGTTCAATATTTTCATAAAACATGGGTAGGTATTTCCGTGGTTGAAATATCACATTCTCAGTTCATAAATCAAGACAGTTAAAATGTAGAAAAATATATGCTATCGTCCACGTGATCGTTTCCTCGAAGATTTCTTGGAATGTTTTTCATGAAAATTCTGCAAAGTGCGATTGAGGGAGGTATGTATTGTGTGCAGGGACCAGTATCACTCTCTATTTGCGCAGTATGCTATGCGCACTTGCAGACAACTAGACAGGAGTCGAGTTTAAGAAATTCGCACCTCCACTGTTGAAGAGTGCGATCTTAGCTAAGATCGCTATTTTAAATCCATGCGGTCTTACAATCGCGCTAAGATAGGCGTTGTACAAGTGGATGAGGGCAATTGTATGGTGATTGTAAAGTTGATTGTAAGGCCCTAAGATTGATTGTAACTAAGATTGCTCTGTGCAAGTGGGCCCAGGCTGACTGCCACTTTTAATCGTTTGATGTGTTTGTTGACAGTTGATGGTCTACATATCCATGTGAGCTGTTTGAGACTGTTGACTACATGACCAGTATTTATTTTGTCCTTATGGGTTACTGTGAGATTGATCAAAAGCTTGATAAAGATGAATTTGTGTATCTCTTTATACCAGCTCCTGGATGAACTTGGAAAAGAACTGGAAGACTTGCGCAGATACAAGATAGAACAGGAAACATTTCAAGGGCGGAAAGGAAGTGTGGGGGATCTACCAGCCCGCTATCAAGATCTGCAAACTGAATTACAGAAACTGAAAGAGGTACTAAAAATGTTTTCTGAGCACGTAAACATGATGATGTTTGATTGAAAATGGGAACTGGATCAGTAAATGAGCAATAACCTTCTTAATAATTAAGATTACAAATGATAAGAAGAATTATCTAACTAGTTTAGGTTTGTTATATAAAAACAAAATTGTCATAAAGTTACAAAAGTTTTGAAGGAAAGGTAAAATGGCAGTATTATTTTTTGTACCACTAAAACTTCAGAACTGCTACACATTTACACAAAACCAGTAAATCTCCCTGATTCATCAATAAATTCATGGGAAAGATTGTAAAACTTCATTGTACTATAGGCCCATGGCCTTGTGAGTACTGGAATGAAGATACATCAAGACACATCAGGGAAGGATGAAAACCCCAGTTCCGTGAACTGTAACACAGCACGGTTATATTTGACATCAAACATATAAAAAGAATAATATATACATTGGAAACTTTTCAGAAATTATGTAAATGAGTTTTGATAATTTGCCGTTCTTTTAGACCTTGCTCAGAAATGAAGCATACAACTTTATGGATGACAACTTATTATTTATTGCATAGAGTGACGTTTGGATGTAGAGTCTAACACCATTATCAAGTAAAGTGACTACAATCAAGTGATGAGAAGTATATATATGCATAGCATGTTATGACAAACAACAGACTGACATTAACCACCACATGTAACAAGTGGTATATGATTGGAGGAAGCCAGTTGGGGACTAAGAACAACAAATAGCACAGGTGATGAAGCCAGTATATAAAGGGAGGGGGATGGGGTGGGTCTAACATGTATATCAAGTTGTTGGAGTCAAGGAGAAAGCCTTGTGAGGTGCTGATCCTTGTCATATTATATATATCAATATCAGTCATTTCCATGTCCCAAAGTGGGTAGTTTTTATACACGTGCTGAAAGCAGCCAATTCTTAGAATATGTATTGCATCCCATGTTAAAGTGTGGAAACTTATTACCATTATACCCTATAAGTTTGTTCACAGCACTGAATTTTTAAACATTGGCCTGTCGGCATCATTTACTTAGCTATGTATGTCAATATTATATCACATGACAAGTATCACCTGGTGCTGAGTGGTTAAAAAAGGGTATGAAAACAGTTTCGGGTCACCTCTTAAAACTGTGTTCCATTCGTTGCAATGGTTCAAAGACATTTTTGTGTTCTTTCAGCAATGTACGACAATTCGTGGACATTTTATAGATCTATGCTTCTAAACTTGTACTTCAAGAAAATATATATTGGCAAAGTGGGCTGCAGGTGGGTGGGTGGTCCCAGTTTCAATGCCAAAGGCCCGTCCCGAGAGAAATGTCAGCTTCTATTAGCATTAGTGTGTCTCTTCGCCAAACGAAGGATTCATATTGAGGAGGACCCGGTTCTTTAAAACATGCTCCAATTGTTTGAGATCGAGGATATTCTGAGATAACACATATCTACGAAATGGGATTTATCAGTCATCTGATTAGGATTTAAGAACTACAGTTTGCTCTATCCCCATCTATAGTGTAAGTAAACTTTTGCCCTGAACTATTATAGTTAAAGTACAAGGAACATAGTACATTATAGATGGGGCTAGAGCGAACTGTATTTTTTCTCGAAGATGCCAAATCTAATACTTACCAACGATTAATCTAAGGCAGAAAACCAACGGATAATTGACGGTGTCGGTGACCTAAATAAACTATCTTCTTTCAGGGCAAGCTGGCATGCTATCCAATTCATGGGTCTTGAAAAACAAAGAAACAAACACACAGAGACACGCACTCATGCACGCACGTATGCACACACGCACACACACCTGTTAAGACGCATATTACCAGGAAACATGGTATGGGATAGTTATACTGTAGGAGACTGTACAAGGTAATGACAACTGACATGCATCTTGGTTTTGTTTACCAAAGGTACGTTTGATAACGAGGCGGCAGATGAGTGGCATAGTGACGTCAATACAGTTTGACGTAATGCAAAAAGTCTGCTTTATCGCCTGATAAGGTGCTGACGGCGCCTTTCATCTTTTAGCGAAATGCTTCTTAGAATACTACATCATCCTTTTGAATCTTATCTGGAAAGCACCTTTATCACACCTGACATGGAAGACTACCTTCCTTCATGGCCTTAGCTATGGCCTCTAGTATTTGCATAAGACAGACTCTTTTTCGCTGTGGGTGCCTCTTTGGTTATCTTGCCAAGAAACAATCAGACAATGTTATTACCAAGAGCATTTTCACGGCGTGGATCAAGAAACCTAATATAAACTTGTGATGGCAGAGGAGATCAGCCTCCATCTTATAGATCTCTACGTCCACACCGATACGAGCCATTACTCTGTCCTTCAAAGACCATTCACTGGAATAGATCATGTCAGCCTGCCAGTGGACATCTTCTGACACATTTACATCAATATATTTTTGGAGATGTTGCTCAGGAAGTACAAGGACTACCTGACTTGGGGTCCTTGGTCATCACTTCAGTCTATCCTTTCCGCCTAGCCTCTTTCTGGGGGAGAAAAAGGGGAATGAGGAACTCAGTTATCAGTTGGGGAAGTAATTGTTTTCCTTATGATTTCAATGTTAATCATGGATGAACACCCTCTGATGGGACAACTGCATGGACAACCATCACAACTGAAGGTGAGTTACCATTTCAACTCAGACCTCAGGTTGGTTGTTGTGAACTTTGAAATACTTCTTGCTGCAAAACATGAGTTTATTGCCACAATTGGACTACGGCTAAATAACAAACGGGTTAGATCAAGTCAGAGATGCAACTCCGTTGTCACAAGTGAGTGGACAAGATTTAAACAGGAAGTGACATCATAATGACATCATCAGAAATACTATTGACTGGAAATGACATCATCGTCAACAATTACAAAAAATACAGCAGCATGGATTCTCAAGTGTTGGCACAACAGCCAAACTAAATTGTCTTATCAGTTAACATACAATCACTGTTTGTTTAAGGTTGTCTTCCTAACATGTATTGGGGGTACATCGGACCCACCAAACCTATGTGAGTTTAGACAGTCAAGTGTTAGGGGACGTAGTCATAAGAATTTTGAACATTATCAACAGTGATAATAAGTCTTAGAACACTACCTCTAACGCTTGTCTTTGTGATGGCCCACCCCTCCAAACCCCAGCAATCCCAGAGTACATTATTTCAGGTGCCCTAGAAAAAATGAGGACTTCCCTGCACTTCTGAAAGATGAGATAACTCCTGCAGATAACGCTTAGAGGAGCACCAGGAAGAATGAACATAAATCTGTGGACTTTCATTCAAGCTAAACCTGTGGATTTAGAACAATTTGGTGGATCACCATTAGAGGCTTCCCACATTCATTTGGGGAAAGAATAAAGTGACATATCATAGTCAAACTACAACAAATATGACTTTCAATGTATGAAGCTAACTTTGGTTTCAAAGGGCCAGTAAACTGATTGTTGTTGCTGTGAATGACAGTGAGTTGGTGCAATCACTTCACACACGAGTTACCTGAAATCATTGTAAACGGTAATGAAAGAACAGTGTAAGGAACATACATACTTTACCCAACTGGTTTCTTTTTTTGAAATTTGGATGAGAATCTGTTATGTTACTTCATGGAATATTGTACAACAAAATATAAGATAAGAGAATACTTTTTAGCCGGAAAGGGAATTTAGTGTCCATCAGAGTTAGAACATACAAACACAGCATTGTAGACATGAGCAAACAACAATGACATTAAATGTGTAGTTAAGACAAAAGAAAAATACATTATTTATATGGCAAACATCTAAAAATAAATATACTGAGAGAGAAACGTTAAGATTTGTTGAAAAAGGCTATACTAACTGGTATAAAAGAGTGTTTACTTCTCTTTGACTTAAAGGGCAACTTTACACGAAAATTAACGTTTTTGTCTTGCACTTTTTCGTCATAAAAAGCTTTTGGCAAGTAGTTTTATAGCCCAAACAGTACATGTATCAGAAGTAACTAATATATTTTTTGCATTATATCGATTCAAATATTCCAAATTAACCGAGAGTTATATGTCCATAATAAACACACCATGGCTTACGTCCCTTGGAAATGACGTCATTGGTGCCAGACTGATAAACGAATGACGTTGCTAGAACTTATTAGACCCATTTCACGTGGTGCAGGTATAGGTGTGGTTCTTGTGTCTCGATACGCAGGCTACTATTTTCATCCAGCTGTTGCCTAGACGTATGCTGGCTATATGGTCAGTTCCACACTGTGATGACGTTGCAGTTTGAAAAAACATATACATTGTGCAAAAAATGTTACTACCTAACCAAATTGTCGGTTGTCTTTCTAACAGTATCTTTTTTTCACAAAAACTAAAACGCCTATGCACTACATCTAGCTTGCCATCGGTGAATGTGCCGGCATTCTACGTTTGCTACTTAATTCCTACATAAATCGTTATGATATATGTCCCTCCTCTTCCACCTTCACTTTGATGTCAAAACCATATTCAAAATCCAATTTGCAGGTTTGAATTCCGTTTATAATTCGTTTTTTCTATGATATCATCCGCTCATTGTAGATCAAATATACTGAAAATTACATGCATCGTAAATCTCGCCAGTTTTGATACATTATTAAATCACCATTCACTCCGTTTTGCGTAATTTATAGTATGTCTTAATTCAAATGTCAAATTTTACTGGGAGAATTGAATTTAAAAGAAGAAAAACGTATGATTGTGATCAGTGGTAGTTTTGTTGTTGTTGTTTGATCATTCTGAAACATTGTCGATGAACCGAGAATCGCTGAGAATGTTTTGGAAAATTACCGTCAAAGTGGATTTTCAGCCATATTGCAGTGTGTTTATAAAATCACGTCACGTGTGTTGGTTATGTTTCCCCATAAAATCAGTTGTATAATTCAACACCATCTTCCTTACATGAATCCCTGAATTCCTCATACAGTTCAAAATAAACTGACAAATGGACTCTGTCACCAAT